CCAAGGACAGCAAGTTCAAGATGCCCAAGTTCCAGATGCCCTCGTTTGGGACGTCATCCCACGGTAAGCCCATCGAGGCGTCGGTAGACACCAGTGCGACCAAGGTGGAGGCGGAAATGTCCCTGCCCTCCGTCCAAGCAGACGGCAAGACCAGTGACCTGACCATTGAGCTACCTTCTGGTGGCCTGGAGGCCAGCGCTGGCCAGGTGGGCATGACACTCCCAGGAAGCCACACACCCAAGACAGAGCTGCCGGCCCCAGATGCCACAGGCAGCCTGAAGGGGCACCTGCCCAAGGTGAAGATGCCCAGCGTAAGGGTGCCCAAGGTGGACCTGAAAGGCCCTGACATTCACATCAAGGCCCCAAAGGTCGACCTGACAGGCCCCAAAGGAGAGCTGAGTGGACTCGAGTTGGAAGGGTCATTGCCCAGCTCGGAGGTGGACATAAAAGACCCTAAGGCCCAGCTGGAGGGCATGAGGCTGGAGGGCGATGTCTCCCTGGGAGACAAGGACCTGGCCCCCAAGGGCAGCAAGCTCAAGATGCCCACGTTCAAGGTGCCCTCGTTTGGGGTGTCCGTCCACAGCAAGTCCGTCGAGAGCTCGGTGGGCATCTGTGCGCCCAGTGTGCAGGCAGACCTGTCCCTGCCTTCCATCCAATCTACTCTCAAGACAGGTGACGTCATCGATGGACTCCCGTCCACCAACGTGGAGGCCACGGCTGGCCTGGCGGGCGAGAAGCTCCCGTCCGGCCACATCCCCGAGGCTGAGGTAACAGCTTCAAGCGATGAAGTCGGCCTGAAGGGGCACCTGCCCAGGTTGAAGATGCCCAGCATCAAGATGCCCAAGGTCGACCTGAAGGGCCCTGAGGTGGGCATCAAGGGCACAATGGAGGGCCAGAAGGACTCCATAGGAGAGCCGAGCAGACCCGAGCTGGAGGCGTCGCTGCCACGCCTAGAGGTGGACATTCAAGTTCCCAGGACCCAACTGGAGGACATGAGGCTGGAGGGGGACGTTTCCCTGGAAGACAAGGACCTGGCCCCCAAGGACAGCAAGTTCAAGATGCCCAAGTTCAAGGTGCCCTCCTTCGGGGTGTCATCCCAAGGCAAGTCCATCAAGGCGGAGGTGGACGTGTCCCTGCCCTCCGTCCAAGCAGATGTCGAGACCAGTGACCTGACCACTGAGGTGTCTTCTGCCGACCTGGAGACCAGTGCTGGCCAGGTGGGCGTGACGCTCCCTGAATGCCAAGTACCCACGATGGAGCTGCCGGCCTCCGATGCCACAGTCAGCGTGAAGTGGCACCTGCCCAAGGTGAGGATGCCCAGCATCAAGATGCCCAGCGTCAAGATGCCCAAAGTGGACCTGAAAGGCCCTGAAGTGGACGTCAAGGGCCCAAAGGTGGACCTGCAGGGCCCCAAAGAGGAGCTGAGTGGTCCAGAGATGGAAGTGCCATTGTCTAGCCTAGATGTGAGCGTCCAGGCCCCAGGAGCCCAG